AAATTTTCCTGGCCTTCTAACTATGCGACAAGAGCTGTTACAAATTTATCCAAGCTAGTCATTAACTTTCCTTTATGAACCATGTTGCTACTCTGAGTGAAATTGAAAAATTATCTGTTTAGAACACAACGTTATACAATACGCCATTTGATAGATGAAAACCTTGACTTTCTATTGCTTATAGGTAATATATATAATGAAACGTAAGAGAGAACTATCAACGAATTGTGAAAGAGATAATATGACAAGTGGGTGTGGCAGGAGGGGTCTGATTTTCTATTCAGTAGCTCTGTAACTAAACAAAATTGAAGACTATAAAAATTATGGTTTGTCTGAGCAATAATGATTTTATAGAGGGTAATTTACATTTAATTTTGTACATTTTTGACATGCTAAGACAAAATGTGTCACATGGGTCACACTAGTGGAAATTCAGGATTTTTTAAAATATTTCCTTGTAGAATTAAGAACTTAAAACTTGTATACTATTAAAATATGGATTATTAGCTAAGATTTTATGCTATTGTAATTGGTATAATATAAACAAAAAGTAGAATAATATAATTTTGAATGTAAGATACTAAAACCTTGTGTCATGTGCAGTAAAGGATACCTGGGGTAATAGGGTTAAAATATGAATTATTAACTAAGATTTTATGCTATTCTAGTTGGTTTTACATAAACAAGAAGTAGTTTAATTAAAATTTGAATGTAAGGCACTAAAACCTTGTGTCATGCACGGTAAAAGGTACCCAGAGCGATAGGGTTAATAGGTAACCATAACAATAATTTTTGGTTATTAATATTTCCATAAAACGGAAATTATCTGATGTATATATCTTGTATATGTAGCTCTGGATATAGCCTTTTTTCCCGAATCATGTTATGTGAACTTAAGGATGTCCCCTCCAAAGAGAAGATGGCAGAAATCTCCAAAAGATGGAAACTTCTTAGTGATTCCCAACGAGACTTCTACAACAAACAAGCTCAAAAGGTATTTTTCAGTAATGTTCTTAGCCTGAATTTGTTATATTAATTTTTTTTCTGATTTATTTAGTAGCTTGTAAAGTGTTTTACTTTTATATGTTGGAATCAGTTAAAATACTGCATTTCAGTATTATAATGTCAGATAGAAAACAGACTTTAAATATGACATTATGTCATAAAAAATAGCATAAGAATATAGACTTTCCTTTGGTTACAGTAACTTCATAAACTTGTGAATTTATTATTGAGACTTGAAATTTTTTTGTGAACTTTAAGTACAAAAAAAAAGAAGTTATTTGTACTTGAAACTTTCAGCCCCTAAGAGTTGTATAGAGTGCTTAGTACAAGGGGATAATTATTGTTGATGTCATACATTTAGTAAACCAGTATTCTGATAGTACAAGGAATAAGTTAATAATGCTGTCTATATTTTACAGGCAAATGCTAAGTACAAGGAAAAGTATGCAATATACTTAAACAGTTTATCTGAAGAGGAAAGACAGAGAGTGTTAACAGAGAACAAAACTCCAAAAAAGAAAAACACAGATACCACACCCAATGGCAACATAATCAAAGGAAAAACGTTAGACTCAGTTTCAGCTTTTGATGATAAAGATGACAAGTCCAAGAAACCAACAACTCCCCTTACCTGTTATCAACAAGAAAAGTTTCAGTCGGCAAAAACCAAAAACCCAGAAATGTCGAAAGCTGATTTACTGAAATTATTAAGTAAAGAGTTTAAAGAGCTCACTGAAAAGAAAAAGGTAAGTAGATTTTATCCTTTTTTTTTCTGTTGGAAATTTACTGTTGATTATTATTAAACCAAAAAGTTTTTTAGCTTAATTAGCTTTTTAGTTTAATGATCTTTCATAAGTGGTTGTTTTTGAGAAGCTATGCATCCATTGAGGCCACTCAGTAATAACATGTATCTTACTATTCTGAAAGTAACATTCACACATGTAACAGCCAAGTCACTTGCAAGAATTTTAGTGCATTGTCATATATCACTCAAAGAACATACCCTGCATTAAATAACATCACTTTTGAAACATTTGAGCTACCTATCTCAACCGTTCCTACAAAGGTTGAGAATGTTATATTCAAACACTTTTGTGGCCTCACCATATCATTACAGTTCATTTTGCCACATCCACTCATGTTCTATCTGATGGCATCTTTACAACAGCCTTGTAGTATAGTTTCTTTTGAAAATGAGCTCTTATCATGAGACTTCTATGTCCAGAGCACACCACTCCTCCATTCGTGCTTTCTGTGATTTATCTAATGTATAAAGATGATGATTTTTCAGTGCCAATGACATATCCATTTGAATGATGCATAACTCAAGCAGTTGGAGAAGGAAAAAGGTATTCATGCTATTATATATTAATACATATCAATCAAGTCACCAGATGCACATGATTTGTATCAGTTTTCCAGATATATATCCTTCTTGATTATGTTGCATACCTTTTTGCCAATGGATTTTCACCTGTTTCAGATACTACACTTTAGTTACCATAACTATGGTATGACTTGTTGTTGATCTCTTTCTGGATGGTCCTGGTTCACCAAGTTGATTCATATTCCTTTGTTTTCCAGTGCCGTTAAGTACAAGTGATACCTTCATCTCATAAGTTTTAAATCCCTGAACACATCTTTAGAACCTGAGTGTATGATTGCTTTGCATCAGAAAGGGGCATTACATACCCTTTCCAAAAGCAATCACTTTTCAGTGTCATCAGACTACCTAGGAATTGCCAAACAATTTCAAATGTAAATCTGAAACATGTTGTCCTATTGCAGTTGTATATTTGCTTTGGTTGTTACGTGAGTTGCTGATATGCATTTCCAAAATCATATGATATAAGTTACTCAACCCTTTGTATTATCAACAGTACTAGTTTCTCGTACCCTCATTAGAGGTTCCATACAGCACCTGCTGACACATGAAATTTCACATCAGTCTGTTGTTTGGAGTAACTTTCATCAGCAGAAACCTTGGTTTCTACGTGTTTGTCATGTGAAATTTCTGTACTGAGAGTCATGAATGTATTCAGCAAACTATTTCAGGGAATATTACTTCTTAATACAGACATTATGGTGGTGTGGCATTGTCTATTGACAACTGCTAAGATATGGCTGTACTCGGGTGCAGTTTATTCTTTTTTTTTACTATAGAGGGGGAGCATTCTTGTAATTTTTGCATTTTATACCCATTTATTCAAGTTTTATTGGTTATTTCTAGTACTCTTTCTTCTTATAGTTTGTATTTTCTTGAATTTATTCCTGTGGTCTTGTTCTTATATCAAAATTTCTGTCTTGGAACATATGAGATACCAGTGGCACATACTCATTATCTATGCATTATTAACTGCTATCTGTACCTGTATACCTTTCTTCCATACATTTGATTCATTATGCATTCTTTATCTGCCATTTGATCTTTGCATGTTAACCACTTTGCATCAGGTATGTCAAAGTGTGCATGTCACAACCTTTTAGAGAGTTACATTCAAAATTGAATTAAAATTACTTTATTATCAATGTATACAAATAAACTTGGCATCAAAATATAGTTAATAAATCAAATTTTAATATTACTTAAGTTCTTAATTTAATAAGGTAATATTTAAAAATAAATCCTCAATCTACCCTAGTATGAGAACTATGATATTTGCCGTCTAGGTCTTTCCTCTTCTCTAGTTTACTTACTACCCTCCACGAAGTATGGAATTTAATGTAAATTGCTCATTATATATCATTTTTACAGCCTTTCAATCCTAGTTGGTTTCAGAATCATAAACTAGAAAATCGGACCCCTTCCTGCCATGCCCACCTGTCACATCCTCTCTTTCACAAATTACCAATAGTTCTCTCTGCCATTCAATACTATATTATTTATAACTAATATAAAGCCAAAGTTTTGATCTATCAAATGACATATTAATTATATTGTTTTGTGTATAGAGAATTGTCTATTTCACTTCCATTTCCAAACTTTATTCAAACAGGAAATACAGAAAAATTATGATAGTTATAGGATATCATCTGCATTTTATGTGTTATGATTATATGTTCTTAGGCACATTATTTGATTGAAAAAATAATTATTTATTGCAGTAGTACCATTAGTATAAAAAGTATGGTTTAGTTTAGACTTTGGTAAGTACTATATTTTTTGTTTTTATGTGTATTCTATATTCATTATTATAAGAGCCACTAACATGTAAAATTTAGAAACTTATTAGGTTATATAAGTTTAGATTACATAAAATAACAAAGAAAATTTTCACGAGGTATGTTTGCGAGTAGCCTGTGCATTATGTAATTTGATAGGGTAACATGAGCTACATGTTCACCAAGTGACTTGCAACTTGTATGGCAGGATTATTAGTTAGAAACAGTCCAAAAAGCAGTAAAAAATAAAATTAAGTATAAATCGATGTATACTGTCACAATTTTTAAGCTATTTAGGATAAACAATTGTGGTTTCCTGTTACAATTTGCAATCATTCCAGAAAGAAAAAAGGGTAATTAAGAATTTTTTCTTATTTCCCAATTTTTTTATGGTGGTTATGAGGTCACTTAAATTTACTGACCCTGTATGGTTATAGTATAGGAAATACAACATTTTTCTGAAAAAAAAAAATACATTTGATATTTATTTAGGAGGTTTTAGGGATTTTAAAAATGAAATATTTTAATTTTCAGATGAAGAAAAGAATTTTTAATCATAACATGAAAATCACTTTGCATTCAGAGAAGTCAGCACTCTGACACCATATAATTACAGACAAAGTTTTAATAAAAATACTTAACTAAAAATTCAGTTTTTTGTATACAAAAGATTTGACGCGTACTCAAAGCTTGCCAAAACTGGTGAAGATACACAAGTACCTTAAGAGTCATAGTATGTATACCACCATGGTTACAAGGTCATGTAAAATACATGAGTCCATTGCAATGGGGTTAATATGAGTATTTTTCAAAGGTTTTTGGTTATTTTTGCCTTGAAGTAGACACACCAATGAAGGTGAAAATAGTTAAAATTTTTCCATCTGTTCTTTCCTTTTCCATGTTTTTTTTAACATATTGTCCTTGCTTAAAGTTTTATTTTTCCTAGAATTGGTATGAAAATTCTGAAGCTCTGTTTAGTAAAACCTTCTCTTTGTAACAGATCTCTTTTTTTTGGGTTTCATCTATAGTTTGATGTTGTTTTAAGTATGAATTTTCTCAAAACAAAGGAGAAAAAAACATCAGCTTGTTGCTCTCTGTTAAGTTTCAATGCTGTTTTAATAGAACTAAAGAATGAGTCTCCACAAGTGCAAGACTTCTGTTCATTCAGCTGTAACTTTAAACAGATTTATTAATTCCACGAGTGCTGGCTTGGTGATTTTGACCAACCTTGTTTTTGAAAAACTATATATACTATAACTATGAACATACATAGTGTATCTTCACAAAATTTGACAAGCTTTTAGTAAATATTACAAGTCTGTTGTACCCCAAAAAAATCAGATTTTTTTAATATACTATTTTTACTAAAGATTTGTCTGTGAAGTTATGAAACCTTTACAGAGTGAACCTAAGTAAAAGTTGATTTGCATGCTAAGAACAAAAATTCTTCTTTTCGCCTTACAATTTTCCTATTTCATTTGTATAATCTATAACTTCTTAAATGGATGTTAAAAGTTTTTAGTAAAAACTTTCTATTTTATCTATAAGGAACAATCTGCTTTTTCTGTTGGCTATGAATAATATAATAGTAAATGTCAGAGAGATAGGTGGGGGCATGACATCTTGACCTGAAATTTTTGCTTATATCTCAGTAAAGCAAGAAACTTTGAGTCTGTAAGTTTACATGGTGGGATAGCAATATCTATAGTGTAAGTTTGTAATTGGTTATTTTACACAGAACATCATATAGAGGTAGAAAGAAAATCTAAAAAGTGAAGATAGACAAATTATTTAAATATTACCTTTTGAAATATAAAAACTAAAACTTGCATAATATTAAAATTTGAATTTAAACTGCAAAAAAAAGTCTTGACATGCACTTTAATCAAACTATGTTGTTCATCGATATTTAATAATTATATGTTTAGTACATTAGAAAATATCTTTACTCTTGAAGTCTTCAGTTTTTGTTCTTTTGTTGTTGTTCTTTAGGAGAAATACAAACGAATGGCAGAAGAAGCCAAGAAACAATCATTTGAGACAAATGGGATAAAGGGGTTAGTAGTTTTAAAATATATTGATTTTAACACTGTTGACTTAAAACTATCTTAGTTGTATTTAGAATTATATCTAATTATCATTAATCAGAAAAGACTATTAAATTTTTTCTTTTTATATTTCCGAGAAAATTTCACAATTTATGAAAAAATATTTGGCTCAGATTTTAGCATTACTTATTAGGTACACTAAGTGAGCATGTTTTAGTGCAAGTTAAAGGTATAGATAACAACTAGATATTTTATGGAAAAGTAGTGTGCACTTTGTAGAAGTTGAGATTTAAGTTGTAAAGTATAAGCATTTAGTGCTTCATTTTCTTTTCTATAACATTGTCATAATATAAAAGACTGTTGGGTTTAGATATTAATGATTAATTTATTTTTGTAAATGAATATTTTATTATTGTTTAATTTTTGTTATAATAAGAGTTAAAAGCAGATGATTGTAAAACGTTTTGTTAAAAATTCATTGATATTGAGAATATCAAATATCACATGCAATATATTGACATCGAGAATATAGAAGGTGGACAGACACAGACGATTGGGTAATAAAGATATAAATAGCGTGAGATGAGCGGGAAGCAGCAGGTAGACAGATAATAGTGAAAGAGAATACAGTTACTGTGAAGTTAAGTTACATAGAAGTGATAGGCCTAATGTTTAATATGTTAGAGTGAAACTAACAGTTGAAAAGAAGATAAGAAAAATAAATTTATTTCATCAAAGTATGGTTCTAAAGTAATTGAATCAGCCTGAGTGCACTTTGACAAAAGGAACAGAGGATCTTCAGAAGAAAGAAGACCAAACAATTACGGTAGCTCACGCCACAATTGTAAGTGAATCACAGAGAATACTAGTGTGAAAGAAATAGAGAAGATAGTTTGGCTTGTCAACTGAAATTCTAAAGTAATTGAATAGGCCTAAGTGGATATTTGACAAGAAGGAGAGAACTACATATATAGTGTTTATGATATGCCCATAATATCCATAGTGTTGAAGAATTTATTGTACATGCATTAACTTGTTTTGAATATATATATATTATTTTAAAAACAAGTGAAGTGCATGCTTCGTTGTTGAATTTATCATTAACAAATCACAGACACCTACTGTAGAAGAATCCTAAACCCAAGAACAACATAGTATATATTTATACTGTTAAGAAATATAACTAAAAGCCTTTTTAGTTTGACAGTTGGCAAGGATCATATTTTTAAATTCTGACAAACATTATGAAAACCACATTTATTCCTTTTTTTTCTTAAGTGTGATCAAAATGTGTGTACTTACCTTTACTTCCAAAATATGACTAGTGACAATTATTAAAATTGATATCTGAAATGAATGTATTACAATTTGTTTTATGTGTCTCTTGTAGATTTTTTTCAATAAAAAGTAATGCATGGTGATTCACGCTACAAGTTTTTACTTTTGAAGTATATAGGGATGCTTTACCATCCTTTCAAGTATAACCATGATCATGATTAATCCATTCAGTGTTTGCTTTTTTTTTTCAATAATAAGACAATGGATTTAAATTTTATATTTGGACACTGAAAAAATAAAACCTACATTAGTATGTAAAAATCTTGTCCAGTAATTTTTTTTTTTTAATGAATCACTTGCATTTTGTATTCCTGTAGAATTGTCCTTGGGGATCACATGATTAAAGCTCTTATGTAAACTTGTTAAGTACTTCATTAGAACACGATAATAATAGGTATGAATGTATTAATTATTTTCTTATCAGAAAGGAGGCTGGACTGGAATGTCCCATCTCTAGGAAAGGTTTGTTCAAGGGTGAACCCAAGAAACCTCCACAGTAAGTAATTTTGATGATTACTTTGACAATTAATACATAAACATTCATTAAATGTAAAATTGCATTTTTTTGCATAGGTAAAGTAATTTGATGTAAAATTTCTCCCCCTTTTTTTTTGAAGAAATGTTCCAACATGTGGTAATAAATCATAAATTACAATGTCCTAATAAATTAAGTGATCATTTTTTTCACAAAAAATTATGTATTTGGGCAGATTCTGGAGCTTGTTTGCTTGGTCATCTCTCTTTTAATGAATGTGTAATTAGCAAAAATTACTTTGTGATGTCTTTCCGACCAGAGCCAGTTGTGACCTAGAGGCTAGTGTGTTGAGTTACAAATCATGGGACCTGGGATTCAAGATATGATAACATTCTACTCTTTTAGCTTGGGTATGCCATAAAGGTTGTCAATCCCTTTATTTTTTATTCAAACAGCTGGACAAAGCCCTTGTGGTGGTGGTGTGTGTGTGTGTAGCTGACTGACAATTTTGTCTTTAGTCATTAATTCAAAATTAGTGATGGCTATACCTGAATCCTAGGGGTCTCTAACTCAGTTTTTTTGGCCCATGTGCACATGAGGTACCATTTTCAGGCTAAAAATTTCAAGTTTCCAGCTAGCTTTATAATTTTTGTTTATTGCCTTTTTTTCATCATAATTTTCTACTGACTCTGATCTATGTGGCTGATTTTTCCACGACTGAATAATTTACTTTCTAACATGTATAGACTGTTCACTTCTTTTTCTGCTTATTTTCTGACCTTACTTAACTAATGTCCTACTTTAAAAGTAACTCCTTTGTTAGCTTTTAATGATTTCTTGATCTAACTTTTGTTAACATTCATCATTAATATGTTCATAATTTTTTCTCTCTTTTAGGAGTGGATATGGAGTCTTCTCCTCAGAAATGCTCAGCATTCTGACAGAAGTGGATCCAAAAAATAGAATGGCAGAAATTGCCAAGCGTTGGAAGGCCATGTTAAATAGAGATAGAGAGAAGTACAAGAAGCGATCTCAAGATTTAATGCAGAAGTACAATAAAGAGCTTCAGAAATTTTTGGCTGTGAGTTAGAATCCTTATTAATTAATTGTTATGAAATGATTTATATTGTGAAAAACAAAGTATTTTGTGGTAAATTGAATTGAATCTGAGTCTTTATGATATGTTATTTTAGTAATTTTATATATCAACTGATAGCATCAAACATGCATGTTCCAGTGAAGTGTGCTAAGCCACATACTACTACTACTGTGCTATCATGATTCTTCAATGGACCTGGTTGGGAGAGCTGACACAGTTGCACTACACATGACTGAAATTTCAAAACAAATGTACTTAGAATAACTGAACCACCCAATTAAATGTAAAAAATATGATGTTTGAATTACTAAAGTAGATTTATGAAACATGAAATATACCACTAAAATAGGTGAACCATACTTGACTGAACTACCAACGTGACTTCACACTGGTGATACAAGTTAAAAATTCAAGGGCATATATCTTTCATTTCTTCCAGCTTTTTGTGGAATGCAGCAACTGCCTTTGAATCTGAATTACTCATTACAGGTCACAAGTTTTAGGCCTAACACAAAAATCTGTAAATTTCCATCAGCCCAAAAGAGAATAATTCCCACCCTTTCACTCCCAGCATTTCTAGTGAATTGGTGACGATGCATAACTATTGAAAGGTTTAAAAACTTGCTGCAATGTATATATAGTTTTTAAATGTCTTGCTTTGGTATTGCAATGCTAGGATAACATTGACGTTTTGTGCATGCTCATTACTGTTATGGTCAAAACATTCATTTGTTCAGCTGAAGTTTGTAGTCCTATACTATCTCACATTTCTAGACAATATTTGTATGATTTACAGAGAAGTCAACTGCTTCAGTCATTAAAATAAATTAACAAATAAAATATATTAATGAATGTTGACAAGTTAAAACTGATTGGATATCTAAAATGAAACTTTCTGATGAATAATAAAAATATAGAAGTTTTACGACAAACAAGTATTTTTTATTTTTCATCAAAATGTAAAAAAATGATACAAATAGTAAATGTAATTTTATGAATTTTTTTTCACTATTTAGAAAGCTTATACCAAGTTTCATGCAATTCGGTTACATATTTTCACTGTGAAAATGAAAAGAACAGTATCAGTAATATTCATCTTGTCCAGAAAAGGTTATGAAAGTTGCAATATGATATTTTACCTCCTCTCACGTAATAGCTTTTCTCATTCAGTGCTTCCCTCTATATGTGATGTGTGCAAATTTTTTTCTTGCCACGAGCCTTGAAACTCCCACCTACCCCATGTTTAATGTAGTTCTGCTGCATCTTCAGATGCAAATAAGCATACGGCAATCCTCCATCAATAGGAGTGCAACACACACTCTTGATGCAGCTGCTCCCTCTACACAGGTTAACCCAGTCTTCACTTCTTGATTTTTGCTCATGCTTTTAAGTTTTTTCTTAAACAACATAGTTGTTTTTCACTTTATTTCTACAGTTATAAACTAACTGTTGTTTATTATTTTTGAACTTCACTCCAGTTAAACATTGTCTTGTACATCGATTAACAAGATGGAACCCATTCACATGCTATGTGTTTTCTGAACATTATAACTCCTGTTCTGGGCTGATTCATATCACACATGCTTCCTTGCATATCATGTTCCAGGTGCATTGAATCTCATCATGGATTAATTATCTCACCCAGACAAGATCCTTCTCATGGAGTGGTCTTCAATTCCCAAGTTTTCTGGTGTCTATGCCACCAGTGGGATACTCCACATCCAGGTGCATTTGCCACCAATTCCAATATCAGATTATTCCTCTTCTGGTTCCCTGTCCCTCATCCTTTGCCTTTAGCATTAGATGCCTTCGGTCAGGATAGGACCATAGTTTTTCTGTCTGCCTACCCTCCTATCTGTCTCCTTCCCATGGTTCTATCCATTATCCAATCCAATCCATGTCATATCCATCTGATAGCAATTTTCTGGCTGGTGCACACTGGGTTTCCAGTCCTACCCCTACTCTTGGTTCTCACTTCCTCATACCCATTCTGCTCTCATTTTGCATTCTGTCTGTTGTCATTCTACACACATTAATTCAACTGTGAGTCAGTGTGTCTACTTTTCATTTCCTCATATGGTCACACCCTTCTAATATAATGGATCAAGCTAAGTGGTGAGTGGTACCTGTCCAGGTATACTTATTGACAGGGGAAACCCCAGCATATCATCTCCTGCAGGATGGTTCCTGGGAGATATGGACCTGCCAATAAATCCACACTGTGTGGCCTTTCACAAAAACAAATCAAAAATACAGATAGGAAATCCCAGCATACTACCTCCCACAAGTAGTGTCCCAGGAGTTCTGGTATGGCAAGGAGCTGGACTAGCCAATATTTCTATATTTACAAAACCATAAGGCCTATAACATACACTGTCAAGATGAGGTGTTCCACACAACTGCTAGTAGGTTCACCTCATGGTATATTGCATCATAATTATGCCTGTCCCAGACTGTACTGTTTCATGGACTATCATGAGTAAAGTAGAAAGGGATAACTGCCTTTTCTTCGATTGAATAAATCAAGAATGGTCTGTTTTTCAAAATAGGGTTACTGTGATCACCCATTGCATAGTCTTCAGTGTAGTGTTCCTCCAGACTCTGTACCATGTTTTTCCCCTACCTCTATACGTGGAGTATGGAAGTCCTTACCACTTACCAGTTCTTAGCCATTGGAAGCTTCTTCCTGAATGTGCTCAATTCCATTCAGTTGAGAGTAGGGCAGTGGTGTTCTGCAGATGTAGATCCTCCTACTTATTCATAAGTTAAAGTAGATCCACCAAAATGCAGGTCACTCCTCAGGTTGGGACTTCTCATTCTACCATTGACATAATTTTGTACTATTCAGTTGTAGAACCTCTGGCATACCTTCTTCAGTAGGCTGTGGCTCAGGAGTTTGGTATGGAAAGGAGCTAGACTGGCCGATAGTTAATCTGGCTAGCTGGGGAACACCCAGCATACCATCTGTTAGTTGAGACTTGTGATATCTGGTGTGGTAAGGAGCTGGACCAGGAACCAGAAGTTCATCTGGTTTTGGATTTGAATGAACCACCAGACAGGCACTTCTTGGGTGGCTTGTGCTGGTTGTGGCTTTTCACATGTGCCCTGTCTAGGAAGATGGAATGAAAATTTTTCTCAACTCTCGTCATCATGAGGTGAAAATGGTACAGACCCTCCTCATATCGTGGACTGGACAATAAATTCCTGATGGCACCTGGTTTTAGACTGGAGTTGATCCACTAGGTACAATGTAACGAGCCCTAACCATTTTACACCATAGGAAACATAAATCTATATATTAATCACACTTATTGGTTGGGGAACCCATTCTACCCTCTCCTGCTGGCTAGTTCTTAGGAGAGCTGGTCTTGTCAAAACACTTAACTAGCCGACATTTCTAATCATTGGTTGAGAACTCTCCTTCCTACCATCTCCTGGAGGACAGTTCCTGGGTGTTCAGTTTTGGAGAAGAGATGGACCAACCAACATGAATACAGTCATGGGTGCACCCCCCTTTTTCAGCCTAATTAGGGACACTTCCAAAATGGGCAAAGAGTATACCTGGTACAGAAGTGGTGCAGTCTTCCACTAGTATGTTTTGCTAACAAGAGAAGTCACACTCCATGGGCCTTTTTCAGATGCACCGGTACCTCCACCTATTCAGTGTGGGATTGTAGCTATTATTTGAGAAGAAGTAAAATATTGTATCAGAAGTTAGTTTTTCTACACTGAAAATATATTTCTGATAGATACTTACCTCTGCTTATGCTTCCCACTCTTCTTCCCCACTTTCAATGCTTTTTTGTGCCTCATCTTGAAGTGAAGATTGGGAGCAACTGCATCAGGATGTGTGGCCTCTTATTGGTGGAGGATTGCTGCATGCAAATAAGCACTGGAACCATGTAAAATGTGGGATGGGTAGGAGTTTCAAGGTTATTTATTGGTGAGCAAAAAAAATTTTTGCATATAGAGGGCAGCAATGAATGAGAAAAGCTATTATGTGAGGAGATGTAAGTATCTATTGGAAATATATTTTCAGTGTAGGAAAATATTAACTTATAATACTTAACTATTTTTAGGATTAAAAAAAAGTCAATTGTTAATTAAATATCTTTCTGTTCTTACAGGGACTTTCTCCTGAAGATCGAGAATTATATGATCAGGTGCGTTCTAAGAAAAGAAAGGTCGATAATAAAACTGCTCAGCCATCCAAAACCGCAAAACAACAAGATGAGAAGGTAAGCTTGTTTTTAAAGGTAAATAACATTTAAGATGCCAAGGTATGTTTAACGGCATTAGAATAATAGTTAACATGGTATGTATAGTATGTTATTGGCTGAGATTGTGATATTTACCTTACTTCCTATTTACGAGTAATTTCATTCTAGTAGTTTTTATAATTTCCTGGTACTACATATTATTTAATCAGCTTTAAAGTAGGGCTGGGCACTTAGTGGTATATACTTACCAATAAATCAATTAGTACAGTGATCTTGACAACACAATATGCATTCTCCCATATAACAAAGAAATAAAAATAAAATAGATGTGCAAAAGCTTCATAACTTTATGAACCAAGAATGTTATATTAATCTTCGTATTTTCACCTTTTTTTTTAATTCATTAAATAATTTTCAAATTATTGATAATTTCGTATGATAGACATCTAGAAGTTGCAATTTGCAGAAAACTTATTTTTTGGCTAAAAAATAACTTTCGCAAAACTTTTGCCACATATAATTTGAAGGATAACTTGGACATTTCCTATTTGGCAAATGAATCACTAATGTTGACTAGAGATGATGACAAGGTCACCATTTTGTTTGTTTTCAAAATATGAAAGTATGCCATATTCTCCCACTGATCTTGTATAAATCAAATAAATTGACAATTAAACAATGAAAACATGTTTTACTATCACCAATAGGGGTAATAATGTTTTTATTTAAAACATATCATGTTTGCAATTACACATAATTAAGTAGCCAGTTAGCTAATTTATTCATTTATGTATTTTGTTTCAATAGGATAAACTTAAAAGTAATATTCAGTAAAGACATGAGTCATCAGAATATTTTTCAGACATCTACCATACTCACTAAACAGTAATCTTAACTAAGCTTATTGTATATGATTTCATGTAGTGAACATAATAAAAACAACTCATTTTTACAAATATTGTAACTAAAAAAAAAAACATAGTATAGTACCACATTTGAAGTCCCTTTCAATATGATAAAAGCCTGGAATAAGTATGATATGAACTTCAGAAGATGCTGGAAGATATTTTGTTTGATTGTATACCTGTCATCTTTGGGTACTGTCTAACATTGTTTCAAAAATGTTGGCAGAAGATTATGCTAACATGAGCAACATTCACATTCATCCGGAAGGTTCTCAATCAGATAAGCAGCAATTGTGCTGTCCAAGAAAGATGACTGAAATTATTGTCATGATTTCCAAACCGTGTTGGAATAATACTAATACCAGTATTGCATATTGTATTATCATCTTGAAGAAAATCATTTCTATCATAATTGACAGGTAGTATCGTGGAATAAACATGATAATCAACAGTTTTCAGGTATGCTAGAGTAGTGAAGGGATACAACCCCTTTCATTACATTAACTATTTATGTTTTTTTTTTTGTTTTTTCACTTTTTCACTTTACTGTCAGTACAAAATACTATGAGGCATGATCAGGCCATATTGTATGTTGTCTGAGCATCACTCAAGTTGTGTTCTCCTCTCTGTGTCTGACTGGCTGTTGGCTATTATATTTTTTTGTAATTTCCTTCACACGGTATGCCTACATTTGAAGGAAATAATCAGATAGAACAAAAAGTATTGTCTCTTTTACTTTTCAAGTTAGTCAAATAATTTTTTACTTCAGTCAGTTATCTGTGGCTGCCAGGCATAGTTTTCTCCAATATGTTGCACTCTGCTTACCACATCTGGTGCATGACTTTTTGTAGGTCTCATTATGGATGGTCCTGCCTTCCCTAGTTGATCCATATTTTTTGTTATTTCCAGTACCATTAAGTACAAGAGGTATCTCCATTTTGGAACTTCTAAATCCCTGTGAAATGCCAATGTCAAAATGTGGTTCTGATATGTGCAGTTTCACCATGACTTTATATTGACTGTGGTTGTCACATGATTTGATGATTTACATATTCAAAGTTGTTTTAATATACCTAACCCTTTGTAGTATTTGTTAATACTACATCACGTTTACCTGTCTTCTTACATGATCAATCTGTTTTGCACATGCAAATAAATGTAGTGTTTTAACAAATTGGATAATCAGCTTTATTTCAAACAAAGGTGAAAAAAATGAGAAAAGTACACTGTTTTAATAGTTATAAACTACATCTTAATTTATCATGTCAATTACAGACAGTTTCAACCCAAAAGGAAGAAAGTGAATCTGAAAGTTCAGATGAGGAGGAATCATCATCTGGAGATGATAATGATGAGGGTGATGCCCAGGATGAGCAATCTGGAGATTCTGATGGTGAGTCTGATTCAGGTTCAGAAGAATCGGGGAGTGAATCTGATGATGATGATGATGACGACGACGATGATGATGATTCAGATGATGATGACAATGAAGAAGATAAAAAAAAGGTAAGCTTGTATTGTAGCTATAATAAAATACATAAATATTTTTGTTTGCTCATTAAACTCCTTAATTAAATAAAGAATGTGCACAGTGACAAACAATCTAAACTCAAGACAAATGTAGTTCTTAAAAAGTTTAGTTTATTTCGATGTACTATTATTTGGTGATTCTTTTAATTCATACTTATGCTAGTGGTAGAAAAAGACCCAAATTTTAGCAATCTGTTCTTCAGCAGTAATACCTTAAAACTATATTCTCCATGGCAGTTTTTTCTTTTGAAGTCTCTCATACAATACTTCTTGTAGGTCCCCCAAGTGTAATGAGATTACATGACCATGGTATTTTGGGCTTAATTTCCATGTGACTACATAATCAAAGTCTGAATTTCCAGACTTAATAATGTCAAAGACATTGTTACCACGTTGATAATTTATTACTTGATTTCTTGTTGCTTAACAAGCAGTGTTTGAATAATGACTTGTCAGAAGACTTCTGAACTCTAAAATTGTGTATGTTGTTGTTATTTCATAAAAAATTAAAATGTTAAATGAATGTCAATGGTAGGATTGCATTATCCTATTGAATGCTGTTTTTACTCTATGTAAGGATTGCATAAATTTAAATGTTACATCATAATCAATGTATAATCAGTTATTTTATGGTGCATAATCTCAAATTGTTGGCAGTTTTTTTTTTCTCTTTTTTTTGTCACATGAACATTGGGCCCTGTTTCTGTTCAACACTTACTGTGTGCACCAAAATTTTAAAAGTAAAAAATTAAATGAATTGTCCAGATTTTAACATATTTCAGAGATATACACAGTTGCACTAAAACTGAAACAGTGATAGGACTGAACAACTTATATTGTCTGTCACAAGGGGCAAGTGAAATTTGCTGTTGCGAAAACAAAACAAGAATTATTGGTTCTCAGCGGCCAACATCATTGGTGAAATGCCATACAAACTGATGGCTTTTTATTGTAAAGCATGTGGTTCATGTGAGAACTACATACAAGTGCACTTTACACATGATCGCCTATTTTTAGTTGAACTATATACTACTGAGAAAAAGTCAAGTCTCTCGTTTAACTGTTCCATACAACAGCTATGCAAAGTCTTGTTAACATTCCTTACAACACGTTTGACAGTGCTATTAATCATTTTGGTGAATCTCTCCTTGCCACAAATAACGTTACAAATAGGAAGTATGAATATGCAGGTAAATACTACTTATTTCTAAGAAATTCTAGAAACATTAAGGAACTTGATAGTAGTCTTTAAAAATGAGATTATTTGACTCTGCAAGTAACTTGTATACAATTATTCTCTTCCTTCAACTTCTAATTATGTTTAATTAATACATATCTTAAAAAATATAAAAAGGAGGCATGTAAGCCAACAAAGGGTGCTCAAGTTTACATTACCATGTAATAATAATTTCTTTTGTTCAGCTGTATACCTATAAAATGTTGTTGTTTTTTATTAGTAGAACTTTGCTGCTGCTTGCATTTTTTTTGTAGTGTTACTTGGGTGCACATCCATTTCAAATTAAAGACCATTTAGCAACAATCATTTTTTAAATGATTAATTTAAATTTTATTTTAGATAAAATTCATAACTTTTAGCTGTAACCATTTGCATTAAGTATTTGATATTAGCAGTTATTGCAAATTTAGTTTTTACTGCATAATGCCAAAAAATAAATATTCTTGTACTTGTAGACTTTGAACTATGTTACACACAAAAGTAGGAAGTCAAATGTCTGAATTAGCTTTTCAACTGTTCATAAGCAGCATATTTAATTTGTAAATGTAGGTCTAGTCTAATTTGTATTTGGTATGTATCTTTCTATTCTGTTTTACTAGTATGCCTTAAAAATAAAAATGAGCTTTTAAAGTTGCACAAGTTTACATTCACAGATGACAATTATATAATGCACAGCTTACAGTATAAGTACATTTCTGTTTCACACATGCACGAGTAAGCTTAACCAAGTATATCCTGAATATAACATAATACTTCCTGGTTCATTGCACTGAGATGTTTAAGGATTTTGAAAAACCAGAGAGGCTTGAAATAATTTAATGTTATTTTCACTGACAAAAAAAATTGTCTTGTTTAATGTTCTAAAGATAAAATCACAAGGCATGGACATTATTTACGAAGTTATGAAATTATGTCACCAGAAATCAACCCAGTCTCTATGAATAGGTGGTTACAACCCACAAAAACCTTTTTATAAGAACAAATTATGGTGGTTTATTAATATCTTAACTACCATAATATTGTATGCTGTGTTATTAAAAGAAGTGAAAAGTACAGAAAATTAGTTTTTTTATCATAGAACTTAAAAGTAGTGGGGAGTCTAATAAACAAAGAGTTGTCTGGTGTTTTGTTTTTAGCTTTTCTCTCTTTCTCTTGCTTCTAGGAAGGAAAAGAAGATAGCAGCTCTGAAGACAGTGACAGTGACAGCGAGAGTGGAAGTGGTTCTAGTGATGACAGTAGCGAATCTGGATCTGAGAGTGAGAAAGAATGAAATTTGGTATATCAGAGAAAGAAAGTATAAACACTGAGATAATGTTGAAACTTTTTGACTAAAATGAAGTAAAAGTGCCTTGGGCAACTTTAAAACGGTATTGTATCCATTTTTAGATGAAGTGAAACCTTGAATATCCTTTACCACCATTCTTCTCATACCAGTAATAGAAAAGTCTAATTAAAACTACTATACTCTAGAAACTGGAATTCTTCCTAGACAAAAACAAGCAGTTGGGATTTTTTTAAGAAATATTATGATATAATGAATGCCCTAAAAAAATTTGGGATTTTGTGTTGAATATTTCAACAAATTGTATCAACCAGGATTTAATCCAGAAAATACCAACTGGACAAAGTTAGGATTCTCCTACTACACGTTGTGTTTAACGGAACATATTGCATACAGAAGAAAATTCTGTAGTGGCAATTAAAATATGACAAGTGGTATAAGGCCTTAGTTGTGGTATGCACAAAAATAATTGATGGTGAAGGATTATCTATGGTAGGTAGCTGCATTTCATCAGCAGTTTCCTTGCAAGTTGTTAAATACATTATAAGAAGAATGAACACATCCATCTATCCCAAACTGTTTTTCATACCTTACCTCACTACCTGTTTGAAACTATCAAACATCCTAGCTTTTAAAAGATACACAACTTTTATGATTGTGGTCACTCTTTCTATGTCAGAGGTATTTTTGCACCTTTATACTGATGGCACATCTCCCCTTATTAACAGAATATATATATATATATGTCTATAGGTGAAATATTTTTTTGCAGATTTTCTTTTGAAATTTTAAACAGATCTTGTGATCTTTATCTAGCAAGTTCAACAGAGAAAAAAAAAAAGAGTAATTGATCAGGAGTTGTTGAATGTCTAACTGTTGCTGTGGATGAAATAAGACAATATAATAAACTTGTCACGTTTGTCTCTTGTTGCTTATTGCTTGTGTGGTTTGTTTATGAATTGGACCAGAATAGTGTAATCTTTAATGTGCCATCTTGTTTCAGTGTTATCAAACTTCTACGTTTCATATGTGTAGTGGAAGTTGGGCTGAACACATAAGCTAAAAAAAAATGTCTAATGTCCAGATTTGCAGATTTTTAGATGAAAGTGTGTTATCTTCTTCATGTTTTTAATTCATAGGTCTTACAGTACTTTCTTCTGGTTGCTTTGTTTTTGTACACAACCACAGCTGGTTTGTATTTGAACCAGCATATTGATTAAATAAAAACTTGTTAACTTCTCATCTCCTGTTAGTCTTATACATTTTAATTGACTTAATTACTCTTACTGCTAATACTAAGAATAATTACAATACAGTGTAATTATGATGAGGTATGTTTTGTATAATCACAACTAAATAGGAAAGGTGGTTTGAGAGAGAACATTACAACCTACTTATTCTAGTTGTGAAACACCTGCAAATATATACTAACCTCTTCAATTATTATACCTAAGAAACCTATTTTCCATTCAGGCAAGGCTGCATAGTACTTGTAGTTACTGGTGGTGTTTTTATTACACTTCCTTGTCAGATATGAACCTTTTAAAAATTGTATTTTCATGTGCGATTTATACATCTTTACAAAAATCTGTGAGGTACAATTTAGAACTGAACTATCATTCATCCACCATGAGCACAAATACAGGTACCTGCCAGGTCTGTCTAGTAAGATGGAAGTGTGAGTATAATTTTAAAAAAAATTTTTTGAAAGTGGGAGTTTTGTTTGTAAAAACAACAGAAAATAGTATGACCTTTTTTTTTAAACTGTAACTTCCTAATATCAAGGAGCTCTTAAGGCAAAATATAACTTTATTATCTCTTGCAAGATGTAAGCATAACCAATCTTTTTATACAACTTGGGGTTATATTAATTTTTTGTGCATATAGAGATATGGTGAAGATAAAAATAGTAGATAGCATTGACTTGGTGAGACAACAATGGTGGTGAATACCGTATTTTTCGGAATATAAGACGCACCCTTA